CAAAAACCGCGATAGAGTGAAGCCGCGGAAGTCGAAGTGCGAAGTGGCGAGGGTTCACTGTACTGGGGATTCTACCTCTGAGACCTGTTAAGTGTCGACAGTGGATGTCGGTGGGCTCTCTCCCTCAGAGGTACTGGCAAGTCCCTCTCAGGTTGTCACAACAGAGGATGCCACCAGGTACGTAGGACATAAAGAAGAGGCAGTGCGGCAGGACAGGAAGCAGAGCGAAGATTTAATAAGCACGGCTTGTTTCAAGCACAAAGCAAGTCCCCTCTCGGTTTGAGGAAGACCCGGGTCTAGGTGCATTGCATCAGGTCTCTTGGGGATTGGGTGATGGGGTCCTATTGGCTTGCCTCCACCCCATCCTGCTTGTGGGGCAGTATTAGTCCATAGATCATCTGGCTATGCCTGCTGGAATGGATCATGTGAGGCGATGGGGATGGGTCATCCAGACCTCCAGCTGACAGTGACGTGATCAGTAGAATGGATCCGCTGAAGTGGTGTTGGGATGAGTCATCCAAAGATCATCGGTGAAATGGATCATGTGAGATGATTCAGGACAGGTCATTCAGACCTCATGGTTCATCCGGGCCTCTAGCTGACCCTGACATGGCCCCCCTGAAGAGAACAGGACTCTGAATTCATTCAGGATATTGGGCAGCAACCAGTCTGGCTATTTCCAGCTGAAATGGGACTGGGGACCTATTTTTTTCATAGTCCGAGCTCTCTTGGCTTTCCATAAACCTGTGAGCTTCCTGGCCCGCCACCTGGTGTGGGAGGACACTGTACCCATCCCTCAGCCCCATTCTTTCATGGAACTGCTACAATCTGGAAGAGACCAACTTGACCAGCAGGTTAAAGACACATGGGCCACACAACAGCAAGAGGCAGACAGCCAATAGTGGTCCAAGAAAGGGGCCCAACTCCAAACCTGGGACCACAAGCTCCAAGATTCTGACAAGCATTGACACCTTCTGGAGGTCTTCTCAGCACTGCCCGATCAATTCACATAAAAACAACACTCTTCTAAAAAAATAACGCACAGTCCTCCCTTTTCCACTGGTTAATAAGTCTAGGCCCCGTTGGTTCTGAAGGGTGACTGCTGCTAGCGAGTCTGTCTGATCCTGGATGACCTGATGCTCCATCCGATCTCCTCTAGACTGTCCAACAAATCCTTGGACAAAGCTTGGTAATAATGGAATGCAGAGGCGAGGGCCCCAATGCCGGTACCCACTCCGACAGTGATTCCTAAGCCTATGAGCAGAGGGATGAATTGGATGGCCCTCTTGGTCCGTATGTTGATGCTAGAGGTTAGTGGCGTGGGTATCGTCTGGTTGTTGGCAACTGTGTCTATTTCTGGGGCTACAAAAACCAACGTACAGGTTCCTGTCGTTAGCTGGGAGGTGTAAATAGCTACTTGTTCCACACAGGAAGAATATACTCTGATTGTGAAGGCAGTAATTGGTGTTGATCATAAATAAGTGGATCAATCTGTTGTTTTCATTTTCCCAAATGGAAAGGGATCCAGCTACGACGGCTCCCGTGAGCGGTTGTAAGGGCCAGAGGAACTCTGGGTCTGTGGCCAGGAGGAACCTTGAGAGTTGTGTAGCCATTATAGGTGAGGACCAGCAGACACTCCTGGGGGGTGGGGTTCTCACAAGTTTCCCATGGAAAGAAGGGAAGGCAGGAAGTGGGTCTCCCTTGGCAGTGACCAGAGGCTCTGTCCACCAGATCACCCTTCTTGATCGAGGGCTTCCATGAAAAACGTACCTGGTGTCGGAATTGAGTTTGCCGCAGAAGTCGGAAACTGGTATGGTCCCTGGAAGGCTCAATGAGTATGGTGTCGTTGCGGCAGCCTTCTGATAGGGTCCCTAAAGGTTTGCCGGAGGCCTGCGTTCTCTTAATGCACAACAGGGCTTGAAATGTAAGTACTGTATCGGTAGTGACTGGTCCCCAGATTGGCTTATGCGAAGAAGTGGCACCAGCAAGGGACCTTGTGTATTTCTGGAGGAGTTGAACTGCCCTACCCATCAGGGTGTGTTTCGTCATGTCAGTCACCTTGAAATCATCCAGGCTATCCAGAGATACCAACTGGAAGTGGGGGGCCTCCGTGGTATGTAGGATGAAGGTTGACTATGTGAGTGTCCAGTCTCTGGCTGGAATGGGGGGTTGCTAAATATTTGGAGGAGGAGAGGGCCAGACACAGCCAGCAGTCCAGAGCCAACCTGGGTTTGGTGTTATTTAAAAGCAAGAACATCAAGCTCAAGGTCTTACGTAAATATGGCGGGATTTCATCTCTGGTGGTCGGCAACCCCAGGGCAACTGGGCTTAGTAGGGTAGCAAGAAGGCAGGTAAGCATTGTTGCTAAATGGAATCACACAGCTCAAGGCTAAGAGAAGGGCAACCGGGTGGCGGGTGAAGGAGGGAATCATACATTCCCGCAGTCTTGCGTGAAAAATGAAATCTCACACACACAAATAAAATCTCCATTATCGGAATAATATCCTCTTTTTTTTTCAATTTTACTTCACAGTCGCGTGTACGCATCAAGAGCCACAGTGTGCGGACCACTCCTCTAGAAGATACCTCACCCCTGCTGGGTCCCTCAACGCTTGAGTGGAAAGGACTCTTCCGTACATGAATTCAAACAGCAACACTCGGGAGAGCCTGTGTGGAGCGGCTCTGATCCTCAACAGGGCTCTAGGGAGCATCTTTACCCAATGTCCCTGGGTCTCTTGACATAATTTAGCTAGAGTTCACTTGATGGTCCAGCTCACCCTTTCCACTTTCCCTGAAGACCGTGGGTGGTAGACTGTGTGTAGGAAGTATGAAATCCCTAATGCCTGGGATATGATTGAACTCCTTTGGACACAAAGGCAGGCCTATTGTCACTTTGTCCCTCTGAGGTAACCAAGCATGGGAATGATCTCCTGCGTAGGGCCTTGGTACTTTGGTGGCTCTCTGCCCCTCCTGAAAA